TTCTTCTTAAAGTTGACATTTTAAGTAGCAAGGTTTTGTACCATTGTAATTGCTGAATACCGACATGATGCCTTCCCTTCCCCCCCCCCTTGTAAAGCTCGTTGAGCTGTAAAAAACGACACTATTTTAAGTCGAAGGTGAGACTAAGTTCGCGAAATTAACTAGAGACCATAATTTTACTACCACAGTAGGGTCGTCATGGTCAGCCTTGCTCCTTAAATTATAACTGCATTCCATGAAAAGGACGTGAAAACACCAGTTTTTCTATCCGAAAGATGGGAAATCACTCCATAACGGTCACTCCAGCAAACGGTCGTGAGCGCCATGGCTGGCCTACACCGTCCACACTACAGCGACCGACAAATATGCAGGCCACGCTGTTCTCCATCGATGGGAATTGTCCACAGCCGGCAAATTGCTCGCCTGTGAAATAGAAGGCATTGCACACTGTCGCCTGCGTTCTCTGTGGAGTTGACGTGTCTCTAGCACAACTATCACATTCCCCAGGGACCGAGTGTTATTAACATTAATGGCCAGAAGAAATTTCCCACCGTATCCGGTTATCCGCCAACGTCCTGCCTTGTAAATTGGTCTCTGCAATGTATAATACTAGTGATATAACCTCCAGAAATGGACAGACCCTGCACCCAGAGACCCTCAAGTAATGCCACCGTTCTTGCTACAGAGCGTCTGACCGATAACAGACTACCCAGTCAAGCTCTACTTACTTTTCGTATTTAATTAACTGGAATTCTAAATGTCCCTCCCCTTTCTTCTTAGACTCCCAGTTACTGCCGTCAGGAGGTATTACAAGTATTCTCAGAAAGGAAAAATTGCCAGTCTTTTGCGACCACCCTAAACCCGTCACTCCTGCTTCTTAGAATACTTATTGAGTTCGACACTACTGACACGTACCGTTTACCATCCTTACCTATGCCTCGATGCCGTTAAGCGCGTCAGACGCAGCCTAGAAAGCCACTGCTGTAGATCATAATCTCCTCAAACGTCGAGTAAGTTGGGAAAACCACGTAGTTGATCATTCTACTCGGCACGCCTCGAGCCACCACAGCCCCAAAAACGATGTTAGTTACACTGCTCGAACGCAAAAGACGATGATAACCAGTCTCCCGGTGTGGAAAAACAAGACGTTTGTCCAAAAGAACTTGTTCAGAACGATCATTTTAAGGGATTTTAACCTCCCAAATAGGTGACAGCCCGGAAGAAATTGGGCTGTCGGGGAGTGGTCGAGAATCTATGCGCAGAGCAGAAGCATGAGCGAATAATTTCGGAAGGTCCACGCTCCTATTCCGCAGAAATAACACTATTTAAGTGTGGGAAAACTAGAATTTCTCTAGCCCTGACTACTGAGAGACACTAAGACTGACAGGAACTCCAACATTTTTCATGCAGTCAGAAAATAGGATAGGCTACTCGGATACTTAATCCTTCAGTTGGTGTGAAACTCATGAGGAGCACACCACTCCGTGTGGATTGTCAGTGACTGATTTTGAGAATACGGGAGTAGGTGCTCATCGATGCCCCAATTGTCCAAAGCAGACGATCTGTGATTGCGTGGCAAGGGTCGGTTGCAAACCAGAAGACCAATTGCTTGGTGCGTGCCCATTCCATTATACGTGTAAATGCCTGATCTACAGCGACAGAACCGTCTGTCCAGTTCAGCTTTTGCGGCTCACTTGGTGGATCCCGTACGCGCTGCGTGCGTGCGCACGTGTGTTTTTAGTCCTACACAGTATGCAGCGTCGCAACTGACTCAACAAGGGTGGTAGAAGACCATAAACACACAGTCCCGACCTGCCGCATCCCCATCGATACCCCGCTCAAGCAGAAACGCTCCAACACAAACATCTCCGACTATGAGAGAGCATGAGCAGCTTTTGTTCCGTAACGGCTGACTTTGGCCAATATCTAGAAAGCTGGCTAGAGTGAAAACACGATTTCTAGGTAGCTTATCAGAAGAAGGAAAGGTGAGAATTCAAACTCAAAACAAGGCTATCCCAGTGATCGCCTCTTCCGCTCCGATTCACTGGGTTCTGCCGGTTGAAGCCGATTGATCGCCTAAACTAAATACCCAACAGCAATTTTGAACTAACTAGATTTGGCTGACTAAGAACGCGTGGACTTTAATAAATAATTCCCCTGCTGACTGTAAACGAATAAAGAGCATCATGCTCTAGACAAGTGTAGAATCCAGACAACCCTCCAAAAGTCAACGATAGAAGAGTTACAGGAAGTATGCGTGCCGTCATGAATATGCAGGCGCAGGATGGATTTAATAGGAAAGAGAAACCATGTTCGTTTGAGAAAATTAATCTGCTGCCAAGCCGCGTGAAGTTTGCTAAGTAAATCAAGTCTCATCCATGTCAATCATAAGGACGCGACTGTAGCTAGGCGGGAAAAGAGGATTCGAATTCATTCGCCTTGTCCTTCACTTCTGCCGTTCGGCTGCTTTTGTTGCCTTCAGGACAACAGGGTTTCGTACGAAAAAGACTAGAGGTATCTCGTCCATGAAGCCATTTTCCTGGCCTTGCTGGCGCCACTTTTCAATTATTGCGGTCATCTGACTGAGACGACTGCGAAAGGTAGCAGCATCACAAATTAGGGCGAGTTCTTTCATTTCAAGCAATCTTGACGCAATCTCAGAGATCCTTTGGTGGATAGAGAGGGATGCAGTTGACATGAGGTCCTCACTAGGTGCTGCTTCCATCGCCTTCGCCGCCGAGAAGCCTTCTGTGAAACTCACGGGAGATGTTTCGGCAGGCGCCAGGGGACCAGTACTCACGGTCTTTTCTGAAACGAAATAAACACACGCAAGCGGGTAGATACGCCAGTCCTTCTAAAGACTTTTTGTGTCTTAGGTCGTCCGCTGGTCCCCGTTTAATCGTATACCTACCCTAGTAACGTCAGAGTATATGGGTGAATATGCCAAACACCGTGATTAGTTCTTTCTCTCATCACTTTTGTCAAACAAAACTCCAAGCATGCGCAGCCATTTCACGAGTTACATAAACAAAAACCGCGGGTATGTAAGGATATCGGTGTCGTGTTTGCTCAAGACTGCTTATTAGCGACACAGTTCACGCAGATATCTAGGCGTGGGTGTAAACTAAAAGACGGAGACGGCAACTTAAAGTGCCTTGAAATACCACCTCGTGGTACCTTCTCTGGCAGTATTATACTGGGTACCGTGTGTACGCAAAACAAGCCTTTCGAGGCCTGGTGCGGCAGTTGATCGGCTGGATGTGAGAGCCGACAGTTCGACCGCCGCTACTGATGACGTCCACCGTGGTCCACAGCAGGATGGGCGTAGGCCCGGCGACTTGTGCGTGAACTATTTTATGGTGTTAGTATGCTTATGCGGTGTCGGTTGCATTCTCACCCCCCCCCTCGCCCACCGGAGCCCGACGTCAAGACAGTTAGGACGACGGAGGGCGGGACGGGGCGCAGGTGGCCGGCGCGGCATGGGTCTGCGTCTAGGCGTGCCACCACACCCCCAAGTATGGCATTTGTTAAGGGTGAGCAGCCAAACAACGCGTGCCGGACCCTCATCTGGGTTTCGTTCTGATCCAGTGTAACTTCCACTTGGCCCGTTGCAGGGGGCAAATGTGAGGACCAGTGGCCGATAATTAACGGGAGAGCGTGGGGTGCGTGCCTTAGCCGAGTTATCCTCCATGAGTGAAAACAAGGCATTATTACCGAACACGCTAAGCATTACCTGTTGAGAATTTATCATACTTACGTCGGAAAGTGATTTGTTTTACGTTTTGCAGCCTGTTTGCTTATAAGACATCCCTCCCAACTGTCTCCGGATAAATGTTTAAGATATTCCGACGCATCTTCAAGCCAACCGCCTCAATTACTTATGGCGCTAGCGCATATCTCGTGAACCGCTTCGCCTTTTTAAAATCGACGGAAACCCGTTTATTTTCTTTCAGGTGTTTAAAATTCTAACAGGTTTTCAAACTGCCCTCTCTAAAACAAGATGAAGATTATAATTTAACATGAAAAAGTAGCCCGGTCGATTTTTGATGAAAAATAAAAAGCAAAAATCGAAGTCTTGCCACAGATAATTCATTTTGTGAGACGTTTTTCAGTATATGAAAAATCTCTGTACGTGATCAGTCCAAGGGTCACGCCGAAATTCGTCGGACTAAGTGTCCAAAAGAGGGCATTCGGCACCTTTGGTATTCAGCCATTCGCTGAATCAGGTAGATTATTTGCGCGCCACTGCAAACAACTGCCTACTCCCCTACCTTGCGCGGGCAACCAGAGGCAGCGATTGCTTACTTTTACCTGGTCTACAGCATCCATACGTGGGTTGACTAAGTATATTGTCATTTGTTTCCCATAAAGGAAGGTGAGGTGGCCTTATCTAGTAGCATCATTAGCACCCTGCTCCGAAAATAACGGCGAAACGTCGATGTTCAGACCGATTACTGCACTCAGTAGCTGATAGTTGATTTTTTCACATTACCTTCCCGACCGGATGTGTCCAATTTTACTGCCGTAAAGAGAAAATCGCGAAACTGCGTTTCACTCTGAGGAGGGAATGAATGGCTGCTTACTTTCAGGCGCATTCACTAGTGGGGGAGTGTGACAAAAGGGTTGTTCGAGGTGAACTTCTCGCGTAGGTTGATAGTTATGTGAGGCACAAACTTCTCAATTTGATTTGCTCCAAGCTGGAAGCTGGTGCTCATATACTGTCCTATACAGTGAGTTAACAATTCTTCTGAGGTAGTTCATCAAGTCTCACACTCCCTACTGCCCAAGCCCGCTAAAGGCGTAAGCTGCTACACTTTACTGCGTGGGACATCAAACTGATTAAGTGACTCTTTCCCCGAACTGAACTCTTACATTTTTCCAGTTTTAAATTTCCACAATAAACGTGTGCTTCTCGCCCTTGCCTCTCGAATGAGAAATCTTCAAAAACATTCGACGAGGCAGCCGGTGTTGTTTCAGAAGGTTTATTGCAAAATATTGTAACCTTATTGTGTTCGCACAGTATTTTCCAAAAACAAGGCTTTAAATCCCTTCCCCCTTATTCTCCAAAAGTAGACAGCAGTATGTTTGCTGGACAGCCTTTGGGTGTGGGATAAGCGCGTACAGAGTTCCATGGTAACGTTTTGTGCATAAATGGATTAACCCAGATGGTACCATACTCCAAAAGTGTTTTGGAACCTGGAAAACCGGGCTTTTAGCTCTACTGCTCTCCATCTCGCCTCGTCCGGCATTGCGGCAAAATCCCGCAATGTACGCGAGTTATTTGTGTGGCAACATCTTCCCAGTGCAAATGCAGAGTGAGTCATCAAAATGTTTATTGAAATATAAGATTGTCAAATACAGGGGACTCTGGCAAGGGTGTCAATCCTAAAAAGCTATGAGCAGACGACTTTTCGGCGTACACCCCTGATAAACAGGATTATAACAGTAATTAGGCATCTGCATGCCGTAAATTAAGTTGCTCCCTGACATACTACTTCCGATTTACTCCATAATGTACTGCTTCATTCCGGATTTTAAAAAGCCAAGCGCTTGGCCTTGTGTTGGTCTTAGGAGATGTGGCAAGTAGTCAACGCTAACCATCACGCATTACCGCTATGCCTCACCGTAGAAGGTTTGGCTCATCGAAAGTTTAGAATTGTGACTCGGTTTAGTCATCTACCTCACGGAAAGCAGATTATCAGCAAACACTTTAATATGTCGATAAAACTGGATGGAAACCTTTCAAAAAAGGTGGGGAATCTCTCCGAGTAGAATGCCAGTTGTGGTCGAGTACCACGTTACCGATATCAAAGTTAGAAACGCTCGCAACGACAATTTGCGGCGAAAACAATGGTGTCCACCAAATGTAGAAACCTACTTCCTTTCGTGAGGGTCCTTGAAGTTTGACGGGGTACACTATATTGCCAAAATTTTGTCTCACTCAACTTTACAGATAGAACTTCTCCTTAAACTGCCACAAGTAGCATGTATGGCACAAATTCCGGGCTGGCCTGCATATGGGCTGACCCATTGTATATAGTAATGACCTACTATGACCTTGCAGTAAGCATGTGGGACCTCTCTCTCCCTACCTGTTCTGAAGGCGCCTCACCACATGTTGACTGCTCTCCATTCTAACTATTAAATGCATACATTATTCAAGCCATATCCCCAAAACCAAGCGGATCGTGTTGCAGAAAAGTGCGAGCGGTCACAAGGCCTTATGACCGGACAGTCAACAAGGCATGGTCAGTTTTCCTTAAGGAAGTCTCGGCGCTTTCAATGCACATAAACATTTCGTCGAGTCTTGCGCACCACATCATCTTAGAGCTTACCTTCCACTAGTTGATCTGTGCGCAGGTAGTCCTACGAAATCAAAATACGTAAGGGACATCTCGTATGACCTTCCGGGCAGTTTTTACGAAAGTCTAACTAGCCTCTCTCAGGTTACTTTTTATGGATTCAATTGTCTGCTTTTGTCCGAGTTTGGCAGTGTAAGTGGGCTTCATATGCGTGTACTCTGGCCTCAAAAATAACATTTCGGGCAGAAACACGCGGAAGGCTCACGGGAAAAAGGTTGTGGACCTACACAGAAACCCGATGTGAACTAAGTCACGTACTGCTAAACGCTTGAGTGTCGCTAAAATGTGCTGAATTTGATCCACACGCCCTGACTGAACGTCAGTGGAGACGTATCCGGTGATATGGCTCTTCAAAACGTTAAAGACATCCCGGTCGGGTCAACCTCTCAGACGAATTTCAAAATGAAGAGAGCTAGAGGTACATCAACAACAGCAAGTGACGGCGCACACGGTGAACTGGCTGCAGTTAAGCGTCAGCGCACTTACGAAGACCGAAGTTTCACCAGATGAAAGTTGACAACGACGGTTTTGGGATCTGTGACCGGCGTAACCCACCCCGGTCTTCAGAGTCGAAGAGTAACATATCGCAGCAGATATGTATTGTTGGGAAGCAGACAGTGTGCATTAGCATTTGCGGGCGTCCAAATTTGCTCAGCTGAGGCGACTGCATCCGCTTTTATAACTAGGCTCTGTTTGAGCTGATATTTTTCGACAAAACGACTACCAGTGACAGCGTGGGTTAAGACCCTCACACTTTGTTCAGGTTCCATACTAGCTTGTTTCCTGAAAAGATCGACATTTATGATTATCGAAATTTGCCACCATTTCAAGAAACCACTCCCCAAAGGAATGGGAAGTGAACTATGTAGGTACCTGACCACTTACCGGGCAATCTTTCAAACTTTTCCACACAAGTGTCATCCTCGCGTAAGATGCTTGTTGACGCAAAGCTTTCTAGCTTCACAACAGGTGGCTGTTCTCCTCTCTCTTCAGGTTCAATAGATTCTTTAGGCCACTGATGACATCTATGGGCAACCTGATGTTCCTGAAACTGCGACGGCCTGCCTCTCACGGTATCGTACACGTTGTGCAGGTCTTCTAATTTCACCTTGTGATTGTGACGGAGATTGTACTTAATGACGTGCAGCGATCCAGATGCAGAAGCAATTCGAATCCGGGATCGACATCTGACTGTTTCGGGTGAGGATCTAAGGGACAAATGAAAGGTCGTTCCTCTCGAATCACCAAAAGACTACTTACGAAAGACTCCTGGTTGCACAACCGTAGAATACCTCTTGGTAACGCAGAGTATGGAATTCGCGACGTCCAGCTGGCCAGAGTCTAGAACGGGTTACTCTGTATCGGCTTCCCGTACACTGCACAGAGGTAAAAAGAGTATTGAGCGGTAGAGGAAGTAGAAAACCCTGTAACTTACCTCGTTAAAAGTTTGCAACCTCTCTTTTAACTCCTGGAACGTAGAGAAGGTAAGCGACGAGAAGACGGCGATAAATTCTGCAGTCAGGTCGCTTCGAACGTAGTACATGGGGGAATTAGGAAAACTGTCAAGTTTTGTGGAACTCGGAACCTCCACCTCATGATTGTGAACCATCTTATGCTTTGAAATGATAAGCGAATCTTGACGTGTCGATTTGACTTGGAAGTAAACAGGACAGAGTGTGGTAGAGTGGAAAATGCAGTAAAAGGTCACTTTTCGCACCGGAACCGACTCGCCATTACGGTTTCGCGTAGTCGACGGGGGACCCTTAAAGAACTTTGTTCCAGTAGCCTGTAGAAGTGATTGAAAGGATTACAGATACGACCAAGGGTTAACAGAAAATCTACCTTTGTGAAGGCCTTGTAGCGTTGCTTGAACTCTGTGTATGAGTTATACTCCTTCGATGCAACGGTAGCTCGAAACAACACCCGAAAGTCCATTTTGGTGGGAAGCTAGCGGTGACTTGGTGCCTAATCGTGACCGGATTAGAAACGCTGTTAGTGGCCAATCTACGAGGTGTTGAGGACCAGCAGCCAATGGTGTATCAGCAGGGCTTCATTGGGCGACTCTGCCTGTCTTGCTCCGATGTCCACTGGACACATATATCACCAGGTCGAATACAGAGGCCCTCGGGATGCCTAGCAAGCTGTTGCTTCAAGTTGGCCTCTGTCTGTACTTCTTGCCGGTGCACGATCAGACCACACAGATGTATTTTCGGGAAGTGGGATTTGATTGGCCACTTCCTCAATGTTCTGGAGAGACCGTATGCAACCAATGCCTTCGGTCATGTGCGTGAGCAGTGCAACGGTTAAGTGCTGACCGGCCCCTATTCATGCTTATTAGACCCAGAGGCCGCTTGCTCGCGCATTCTACCTTAGAGTGTTAACTGGGAAGGGCATCAGTGTGGCCGCAGTGCCGGCTTTAGGGAGTTAGCTGAAGGACATGGAGGGAATCTTACCTAGTTTTTGGAGGACCCCCCACGTGCCTGTCCGTTGCTGTCTGCATTTCCATGCACAAACACTAGTGCGAAACTTGTATGGAAGGCAGACCTACTGCGAAGCTAGATCCAGTTCCTAGCATCGACTAGTCAGAAATACGCGGTTTCCTAGCCTTATTCACAGAAACGGAGGGATTACGTCCCTTTCACACTTTCAATGGGCTAGCCTTCCTCTTCCAGTTAGTTTGTGAGTCTCGTGAAGGTTCTTACCTCTCTAAGGGCCATCTTTGTAATTGCAACCTGCTCTATCTGGGAGGTGCGGCCGACCGTCATCATTGAATCGGTCACCCCCCCTTGCACCGGGGCCCAGACAAATTAGCGTCGCTCAACCTCATTCCAGGCGCACTGACCTGCACCCACGCAAGTGACTTCAACTCGGGCACACGAACATTCATGGAAACCACAGATATTCGTGCCCCTCTCGAATACACCGCACTTCGGCGAATGCGACACGGACAACTTTAACACCTTAGCCATCGAGTTATGCAAAACACGTCGCTAGACATAAGACGTCTCGACCAGCTCCTACTCGCAAGCAGAACCAACCGTCAGCACTCCCTCTCTCTCTTCTCTCTCTATCACAGGTACGTCTGAACGCTGTCAGCAAACATTCCACCCTCTTGAAGCAATATTTCCCCGGAATGAATTTAAAGCAGGCATAGACGGTAGGATTTATTGAGACCAATAGATTTCGCGACGGCTTATCAACTGCAGCCTGTCGTTGCATATCACAGATAACAAGTGAAGAAGATACAGAGGTTTTAACTTTCACGGAGAAAATCAATATAAAACAGCAAGGACATTGTATACTACACGTAGACTAATCAATAAAATGGTAACTTGAAAACGTAACATAGGAAAGAAAACGGGGAAGTTAACACAACGAGGGTTTCGCAAATCAAAAGGGGTTCAGATCTACCAGGGCAAGCTGAGGCTGACCACGTGGTCTAATTGTTTACATAGGTTAGGTTTCTCCCGCCGTACGTAGGCTGTCCCCAAGTAGCACAGTAACCGAGTTGTTCGTACTCGAAGAGGTGTTTTGGGGTCAACCGAATGACCGCTATCCAGGAGGTGCTTTGTAATAGAAGACCGTGGAATTTTATTCTCCTGCTTTAGAAGCCATCTAGGCAGGTGCTCAACTGACCTGGCTGCCAGGGGCCTTTGCGTTCACCCAAGGTACTTGCATCCACAAGTGCAAGTGAATTCGTAAACACAGTTCGACGTGGCGTGCAATGGCAAGGCATCCTTCGCCCGTGGAACTTCGATAGCCTTAGTAGGACTGCAGAAGATGAGTTCAGCTGAGTTGTACGTTCTTTCAATGGCGCATCTCAGTCGTGGCTTGATGGTATTTGAGATGTTGTCACCCTTAAAGGGTAAGGATACTACAACGGGCTTTTTCGGAACTGATTGCTCCGTCACTTTTGGCCGTAAAGTGTTGCTGTAATTTTCCATGAACCGTGTTGGATATCCCCGTTTAAGGAGGGCTGTTTTGAGGCAAGAAATTTCAGCATTCAGCGTTACAGTAGAACAAATGTTTCTTGCTCTTTGGAAAAGAGTGTAAAGCAGATTTCGCTTTCGTTGTGTTGGCACAAAGCTCAAAAAGTGTAGGTATTGGCCTTTCTATGTATCCTTGTGGAAAATCGACCGGATTATTGAACTATTATCCTGTCTAGTCATGAGGACATCCAGGAAAGATAGCTTGTTACACTGCTCCTTTTCCATTGTGAATTTAATCTTAGGATGGAGCCTAGTCATGGCAACAAGTAGGTCTTCGACTTCCTCGTTGTTATCAACAATAGCAAAAATGCCGTCCACATATCTTTTGTAAAATGTTTTCATATTTAACTTTGCCGACAATTTTTCTGCTAAGTGACCCAAGGGTTGGACCAAGTGCACTTCCCATTGCCACTCCACAGCATTGCCCACAGCATTAACCCATCCTCAGCCATGACAGAGCAATATCGATTTTTTGGGCATTGTTTAAATTTTGACTGTTTCTTCACACTTACTACACGTCTGAAGATGAGCTGGGGAACGAGACTCGAAAATTTACGAAATAAAGTTTGTTCATTTTCCCAAAGGACTCATTCTTCTTCGAAATAAATTTGTCTGTATAATTGTCCATTGAACAGAAATCGAACGTTTTTCGTGCAAAGTTTCGACAGGTCACGTAATATTTCGGGTGAAAGACGGATTTCAGACACATGGGCGCATATGACATCGATTATCTCATCAAGTGGTACCTTTGTGAATAGTGATACAACGTCCAATGATATCATACTTTTGTTGGAAATGTTCCGATGCCTTATTTCTTCAATAAAATGGAAACTATCTTTTATTGTGTAAGTCGAAAATAGGTGTCGTATTGGTTCTAATTCCTTGACAAGCCACTGTGCTAGTCTGTGTTGGGGTGAATTAGACATAGACAGAATTGGTCGTATAGGTATGTCCTTTTTACGCGTTTTCGACAATCCATATGGTCTGGGACTGCATGTGCCCTTCAGTTTCAGGGATTGCGCGGCTTTAGCATCAATCAGATTTTTGTTCGACAACTGTTTAATTATTTTCCAGGCGAATTCTTCCATTGCCTTGGTTTCATCTTTCCCTGGCGTTTCAAGACGAAATTTACTAAAATCGTCTAAAATGGATTCAATTTTGGTTACGTAACCTCACCGGTTAAGAATGATAACTCCGTGGCCTTCGTCAGGCTTAGGAATTACTATTTGTTCATGGCGCTTCAATGCAGCTAGGCAGCCATTTGTTCTTTAGTTATTGGTGTTGATTGCGTTATTGGAGCTTTATGATACAGATGAAAAATTTCCACTAGTTCTGCTTTCAGCCAACCTACGTCATGAGCGGATCTGGGTATTGGGTCTGATAGTTGAGAATTCAAGTCTTCGAAATGGGCCTCAATTTCTACAGGGTTAATTCTTCGGTTTGGCACACAAAATTCAAGTCCTAGTGGTAACGCTTCTGCATTTAGCTTATTAATTTTGATGTCCAATATGTTAAGAATAAGTGCATTGGAGTTCAGGGAGAAAATACCGTCCGTAGGCTTCCTATTTACTGACTTCATCAATTTAAAGAGAAAGACCCTCTAGTCTTCTTTTGTGTGATACATGAGTGTTTAATGTGTTGGACGTAATCTCCCTCGACACAGGATCTTGTAAAAATCCACAGGGTACTCCTTGCTGTTTATGACCTTCTGAAGAAATTCAACGCGTGTATTTTCCTTCGTTATTCTGCATCGTGGTTGTCTGAGGGAAGGTGCTGTTTGCGAAACTTAAAGCATTACTTCCCGGAATTAATTTAGAGCAGGCATAGACAGCAGAATTTGTTGAGACCAATAGATTTCGCGACGGCTTATCAACTGCAGCCTGTCGTTGCATAACACATATAACAAGTGAGGAAGACGCAGGGGTTTGAATTTCCCAAGAGAAACTCAATATAAAACAACAAGGACATTGTATACTGCATGTAGACTAGTCAATAAAATGGTGACTTGAAATCTACTGGTTCCAATAAATTCTACTGTCTATGCCCTCTCTCGTAGCCGCTGCCGCCTGCGACAGCAAGTAAAGGTTCTGTACACAATCAGTCCCTTATTCTAGTGTTTTCCTTCCTATCCTACTAGTCGAAATTTGTCCTATTTGATAATGGCGACCCGAGGGACGCGCACTACCTTTACCGCCCCACTGCGAGTTGACAAAAGCAATTTCGGATTTATCTGTAGAACTAAAGATGCAATTGTAATCTAACTGGATTTCAGCAGATACATTAGCACCAACCAACCACATTGCAGGCATCGAATCAATTATTCTCTCCCAGAGTAAATCGTTGTAGGGGCATTGGTTTACCATTTAAGTATGCGCAGCATTGTTTAGACGAGCTGCCCCTCTTGAGTTTAATTGATAAATTATGTTATCATTTCTAGGGACGGGTGACTAGGCTTTCTGGCTAGGTTTTCATGTAATCGCCTAGGAATCCTATTCAGCATAAAGATCGAAAACCAGATATCTTTGTGTGAGAAACCGCAAAGAAGGGTTCGGTTTGTGTCTATGTCGTTGTTCAACCTCTACCAATACCGCCATTTTGGTCACCTTAAAACAGGGCAAGC